CACATCAGAGTTCCCCCTTCCCTTTCACACTAGGAGCCCTCTTCACATCAGAAGCCCCCTTTACATCAGAGTTCCTCCTTTACATCCGGAGCCCCCCCCCCCCCCTTCACATCACAGTCCCACTACCACAAAATTTTGAGGCATCGCTGAGGAGGCCAGGAGGAACAGAAGTGTGCCACGGTACCCTGATTGAGAAAGGCTGGCCTAGGCACTCCTGTGCCTGAAGCTTCATAGCCGTATATCTGCAGTTCCTTCCGACTGCTTAGTCTCTGCAGATGTGGAGTCAGATTTGGTGATGTCACTACTGTGCTGATCACTGTTCTCCTTGCTGAAAATGAAGGTGTAACTTGCAATGCAATCAGGGAGGAAGCTCTGACAAGGGGAAGCAAAGTCAAGATAACCACCTCCTCCTCCTCCTCACAGAAACACAGGGTACAACAAGGCAAGGATGGGGAAAAGATCAGCTCCAAGGAGACCACAGGCAATACCGGTGACTAGTCCTTCGCTCTGTGCCGGGAGCTTCATAGCCGTATATCTACAGTATGAGAGCTAAGGCCTTGTTGCCTCTGTTAGTCTCTGCAGATGTGGAATGAGATTTGGTGATGTCAATACTGTGCGGCACGCTGTTCTTCTTGCTGAAAAGAAGGTGTAAATGAGGACTTGCAATGCAAGAACCTCACTTCTTGCTGCCCAACCAATCATCAGATCACCAGGAATCAGGGGGGAAGCTCTGACAAGGTGAAGCAAAGTCAAGATAACCACCTCCTCCTCACAGAAACACAGGGTACAACAAGGCAAGGATGGGGAAAAGATCAGCTCCAAGGAGACCACAGGCAATACCGGTGACTAGTCCTTCGCTCTGTGCCGGGAGCTTCATAGCCGTATATCTACAGTATGAGAGCTAAGCCATTGTTGTCTACATCTGTTAGCTTCACCAGATGTGGAATGAGATTTGGTGATGGAAAAGGAAGGTGTAAAAGAGGACTTTGCAATGCAAGGATCTCCCAGCTTTTGCTTCATTCATTCTTTGAATTTGTGCTTCGTAAAGCTCTCCTGCTGCTTCTCAATTATTGCCCCACCAAGCATGAGATCACCAACAATTGGGGGGAAGCTCTGACAAGAGGAAGCAAAGTCAAGA